ATCCTTATGTGCAATTTAACGAACCAAAACATATGTTGTAATCTGGAAAATAACCTTATGTGCAATTTAACGAACCAAAACATATGTTGTAATCTGGAAAATAACCTTATGTGCAATTTAACGAACCAAAACATGTGTTATAATCTGGAAAATAACCTTATGTGCAATTTAACGAACCAAAACATATGTTGTAATCTGGAAAATAACCTTAGGTGCAATTTAACGAACCAAGACATGTGTTATAATTTGGAATATAACCTTATTTTTTGAATAAAATCGTTCTTTTTTTTTCTGGAGTGTGATTGGTAGTTTTAAAAAAAAAAAACATAACGAATGTATTAACTTTTTACTAACAGTAAGCTAGATGCATAGATCAATTACTTTTACCACGACTATGACATATACATTTTGAATGATAAAGATTCACTATTCACAAGAACTTTGTCGAGTCCCCTGGTGGCTCAGTGATAAACAGTGCCATCTAAAATAGATCTAATAATTTGAACAACTTGGACTAAATTAAATTGTACACAATCCAAAAGCCTTTCTAAGTATTCTTTATTTGCCTAGTAGTGAATATAATTTTAACAAATTCACCTAACGTAATATTTGGAAGGATAATTAAGTCATTTCTCGTATTTGCGAAATATCAAAGAATGTATTCACCCTAAGTATGATTGATATCTTCCTTCCATATCTAAACAATCTCATAAATATATGTAAAGTGTAGAAGAAAAATTATAAATACTCACTCAGTTTTGTTAAACACGTGGATGATAAGTAAAGAAACTGAAACCCTGTTACGTAAAGCCTGTTATGTATTTTAATTTCATAAAACCTTTGTTCAATAATTTACCAATTAAACTTTGACCTCGGACACTATGATTAAACCTAGTTTTGTTGGGAAAAAAAGGATTTTGTACTGTTACTTGTTTTAAAGCATAAAGCTGCACAATTTGCTATTGCTAGTATCCACTGCAGGAATCGAACCCTGAGCCACTGGGAGCTACCATTAATGAAAAAAAAAACATTTTCATCGCTAAGTAAAAAATGACGCTATTATAGATTTGGTTTTTGTTAAGCACAAAGCTACACAACGGATTATCTGTGATATTTCCACAACGGGCATCGAAACCCAATTTTTAGCGTCGCTGAGTCACTGGGGGCGCTATTACAGTAAGATACAATCTGAAGCTCATGCACATCTTTTTAACTTAGTTGATAACATAAAATAAGTATTACACTGGCAAATATATATATATATATAAATTTATTCATTTTCATATTATTTTACATCGTAAAAGATTACAGATAGTAAATTAACGTATTTCATTATTTATACTTGGACCAGCTTTTTTCTTTTTCTTCTTTTCGTTTAGGTAGTCTGTTTTATGTTAACTTATTACAAAAAGTGATAAATAGTTAATCCCAAATATTGTCTAGTAAATTCCCACAATCTTTCGAAGTTGACGCAACACAATCACAGTGAAAGTTTTTCAAGTACTTGTCTCCAGACCTGTGTCCCCCGGTGGGACAGTGGTAAGTCTTCGAATTTGTAACGCTACAATCAGGGGTTCGATTCCCCTCGGTAGACACAGTAGATAGCCCGATGTGGATTTGCTATAATTGACTTGTAATTGGCTCTCACTTTGGAAACTTAGTGACCCAACTTTCATCAGTCCACAAAACTAATCATCATTCATCAAGTTTTTTCAAAATCAGCCATTTCCAAGTATCCGCCTTCATGGAGAGCATCATCTACGTGTTCTATTCGGTGCGTCCGTTCATAATTGTCCATGCTGTATGCAGTAAAGACACTGTGAATGTGTTGCTATTAAATTACTGCATTCTTCAAAGTTTTATCAAGCAATTGTCTGTCATGCTTTGCCGCAACTTCACTTGTCGTAATTGTTTTCAAGATGTTTTACTGACAAGTTCTTGTAGATGTAATAATTTTCTTTGAGTTATTAAGAACTTGAATTTTTAAAATTAATAGCTTGTTTTGTTTTTTGTTTTTTTTTAATTAAGCACAAAGCTGCATAATGGGCTATCTGTGCTCTGCCCACCACGGGTATCGAAACCCGGTTTCTAGCGTTGTAAATCCGCAGACATGCCGCTGTGCTACTGGGGGGCATATTAATAGCACCGTATACAATACGTGGGCTAAATGGCCAGATTTTTTTGGGATTCGGGTACCGCTGTCCAACATTTTGAACTAACAACCAGAATAAAAGCAGTCAACCAGCTGTATTGACGTTAGAAGGACTTTGTTTAGTTCTTTTAAGCCGAATACCGAGATTGCTTGCAAGTGCAGAGCATATTAAGCAGCACTACATCTCGAATCTCTGACCATGACAGGCAAATTACTACGTCACACCTGGCCTATCAAACTTCCTTTAAACATTCGCTGATTCCGAAAAACAAGAAAACCTAAGATTTTCTATCTTTCATTTTTACAAAAGTAGAATGTACAACTTCTCACACAAGCACCCATATCTGTATCTACTTTTTTATCGTCTGTAAGATACAGAATCAATTAAGTTTATACCAGTGATGGAAATAACACAAGTCAAAAATTCCCTCGCTATTTTATTGTATTAAGCCCATCGCCAAGAATTAACCTCAGGCTACGCTGCATCTACCTTGTCTATTTTGTATAAATGAGAATCTGTAAACCAATAACCTCACCCCCTGACGTTACTTACATTCCGGACTCTACATCTATAGATACGTTTTATATGAGGTTATTAATATACAGAGCCCCCTGACGTTACTTACACTCCGGACTCTAGATTTATAAAGTTGTTTTTACTTTGTCTAGCAGAGTTACAAAAGTTTGTATTTTTTCATGGTTTCAGCTTTAAATACGCTATATATGTCTCAAGCTCCAGACCTTAAATAAATATATATATATATGTTGCCTTTGAAAAGCACCCTCTATAGATCATTGACTGAAATAATGATAATTGATGGTAATTGATGTTTTCAAACTTCAACAAAATTATACATTCTATTTTAGACAATAGAGAATCTTCAATAGCCGCGGTTGTAATTAGATCTCAAATCGGTCAAGAGATGGAGCTATGAGCTAAAAATTTGTACTTGAAAAAAAAAAAACTCAGAGCCATTATTCGAGCCGCTAAGCCTCGGCTAAAAACTGAAATTACAGATTTCTGTAAGCTATCTTGTACTTTACCTGATACCGATCCCAAAATTATTTTCTACAACCACTTATAATCATTGCTACGCCTTTCTCGTAAGATCCAAACTGTCAATTAATAGCTTCTGTAAACCATAATTTATGTTCAGAGTTATACGATTAACTATTTTTTAGGAAATTAACAACTACTGTTAACTGCTGTACGGAATTCTCAAGATTGCGGAATGTTTTTTTTCTTCTTCTTTTTTTAATGTTTCTTACATGCTTAACATATAACTGAGGTTATTATATTAAAGAGGATTTTGCCTTTGAAATATACCCTCAACAGATCATTAACTAAAATAAGAACAATTAATGATAATTGGTATTTTCACTTTGAACAGCACCTAAATGACACATACCTAAACGGCCAGATCAGAAACTCCAAGATTCAGGCATAACTATCTGTAATTTGGAACTGTTGACCAAAGCGAGGACAAGCAGTCAACATAACTCTCCGCCTACACTATTATATAAGCAGTCAACATATCTCTCCACCTACAATAATAGTGGGATTGACTGTCCCTTTTATAACGCGCCCACAACTGAAATTGCGAAGCATATTCAGCAGCATATCGCATCTCGAACCTTGGACCTTCTGATCCACAACCTGCATGCTAACTACAAAGACAACAATTAACATGTCTGATGCCTACTTAAAGAGTAGAAATAATTTTTCATTTTGCAACATAAAAATCATATATTATAATAATCTCTCTACCTTACATCTTCTTAAGTTAAGTGCATAATCACAAACATTATACTTTATTAGTTTAATCATCATTAGTTTGAATATTCATTTCTTTAGCTATATATGTGCTTCGTCTCTATTTCTTACTTACAAACTCTTTTTTTTTCTGATGACAAAAATATGTCGTCAACATTCTCTAATTACTTAACCCTTGTTTTGTTTCTTCTTTCGTGTTGTTAAAAATAATTTTGGCTATTTTAAGACATTTCACAATAGATTATTTGTATATTATTAATACATTTCTTATGTAACACATAAAACTTTATATAAATATGTTTAAAATCGTCAAAGTACTTATACATGTCGAGGAATTGTATAAAACCCTCCGGTAATTTTCCAATATTATATGCACTATTGTTTCGCTTCCAAGTATAACTAATTAGAAATGAGTAAAAACCCTGTAACCCGAGCGCTTTCGAAAGGTGGAATCAGTTTGCTCCTGAAGATGACAGGTCCACCTTTCGAAAGCGCTCGGTTTGTAAGTTTTTATTCATTTCTATCAAGACTTCTTGAACCTACGTGTTTTGCTAACATCATGAATACACACAAGTTAGTTAACCCTCGTTTTGCTCCCAAGTTTCTTAATTCTCGTTTAGCTTCCAGCTGTCACACAAGTGTTACACATGGGTTACTTAACCCTCCTTATACAAGTGTCACTCACGAGTTATTTAACTCTCGTTTCCACTTTTTTGTGTCACAAACGACTTCCGTGAATTTCGTTTTGTTTCTAAGTTTCACACAAGAGGTGTATTAATCCTCGATTTGTTTCCAAGTTTCACACAAGAGGTGTATTAATCCTCGTTTTGTTTCTAAGTTTCACACAAGAGGTGTATTAATCCTCGTTTTGTTTCTAAGTTTCACACAACAGGTGTATTAATCCTCGATTCGTTTCCAAGTTTCACACAAGAGGTGTATTAATCCTCGTTTTGTTTCTAAGTTTCACACAAGAGGTGTATTAATCCTCGATTCGTTTCCAAATGTCAAACTCGAGTTTCTTTACTCTCCTCGAAGTTTTTGAAGTGATATTCTCCTCCGAAATCTTCGCAACAAGCGTTGTTGTCTTTTTCAAGATTAGATGTAAGCATCGTGCTTTCCTCGTGAGTTTCAAGCTCCTTACACACTCTTTGCGTATTGATCTTATTATGAACTAAGGGAAGAATATTAGTAACATTCGGATCGTTAAATTCAGGATCATCAACACAAAATGATCCAGACTTTTTTCTGTGTCTAGCTTCTAACTGCTTTGTGAAAGTATGGCGTAAATGACCACAGCATGTAAGAGCACCGCACGTTTTCGACTCAGAACATTGAAGAATGCACTCTGAACTTTGAAGAAATCCATTACGCTTGAAGAATTCTGGTTGCACGGTTACAAAAGCTATACCTTGTCTCTGAAAAAACTTCTCCATGTGATAGGCAACATTCAAGTAATCATTGGGAGAATTTAAAATTATATGAACAGTAGCAATCGCGTGGTCACTGGTCAGTCGCCACACGTGTAAGTCGTGTATGTTAAGAATGGCTGGAAATTTCAGCATGAGACGTTTCTTCAGCTCCTTGACGTCGATGTGGTGGGGGACACTCTGTAAAAGAATCAGCCCGCTTTCTTTCATTAGGGGGTAACTTGTAGCGATCAGGACTACTACAGTGGTCAGGCCCAGGATAGGGTCAGCATATTCGGTTACACCTCGGCCATCCAGGTAAAGAACAAAGTAAGCCACAACTGTAACTAAAACACAACTACACGAGTCGCGTAAAAAGTCAAGTACTCGGCGTAAATTCCGTGAATGTTGTTTAACTTCATTTTTATCTGAGCTGCACGACTGGACATACGGTAAAGATTCGCTCGTGCGACCTTCGGGTTCCACTTGTCTCGGTTCGCTTGAGTGTTCATCTGTACACAACACCAGGTTGACCTGGACGTCGTCTCCGTGAACGCTCAGATAACAACTTTGTTGCTGCGTGTAGCCTCCAATTAATATCATACAGACACAGTTTAGGAACAACCCAACGACACCAAAGGTTAACAAACCGTATGGAAACCGAGGTTGCGTGTTTTCGTGAGAGGCGTGAACAATTGTCTGCAGTGATTCTACACAAATAGAGAAACAAAGAGCAACCAAAAATAACATATTCACCAGGACTCCTAGCACCTCCACGCGAGCCCACCCAAACGTATTCTTCAGGGTTCTTTCCTTGGTCATCTTATAACTAATAATTAGTAATAGTAAGGATAAGACGTTGTACAACGTATGATAAGAATCTACCAACAAAACTAAAGATTTGGTAAAGTGGCTAGCCACTATCTCCGCTCCGAAAAACAGCCCAGTAAGGCCAGTCATAACATACAACCTTACTAGTTTATGCGCTTTCATCTTGAGAATAGTTGGTAATGGGAGCAAAATTACGCTTTTCTTTTGGTCCTTTTCTAACCGTTCTTAATCAACTTAAAAACTTGAAACTCTTCTGTCCAAGAATAACACTAATTACAGCAACATGTTCATCTTACCATTAGCATATGTTTGGTACAGCATACACTAGGACTGGGGCGGTACTAACATCTCGCTCGTGAAACAAACAACATTGAACTGAGCAATGGGACCTTTGATCGGAAGCACAGATTGATCCCTTCAGCTGTGTACTAGTAAACCGCTCGTGTCAAAAGCCACGTGACCTCCCGGGGTACAATATTCAACAAACCATTTGTTTTAAACCACTACTTGAAAGGTCAATATATAATGAATATAACTTCTTTTTCACAACAACGTAAAAGTAGGTTCTATAACTATCAGTGAACAACAGTTTCGTTTCGTACTCTATTCATTAACCGTTTAGTTTTTCCAAGAGAAAATTTACAAATGTGCGATTCCTTATCAAGTACCTCCCAGTGGCTCAGCAGACTTACGACGCTAAAAATTGGGGTTCGATACCCGTAGTGGGCAGAGACCATTGCATAGCTTCACAACAACCAAACCAAAATTTATTAATTAAGCCTACTTTTCAATGTATACTTTAACAGGGAGTCAGACTTCTTCTCTTCCAAAAGTGAGCTTATTAATGAAATTTTTAGCTCTCTACCAAACGACTGTAGATCCTAATAGTGCAGTACGAAATGTTCGATACCAATTAAGGATTATGGGATACGATTAACCTTTAATATTCAGCCTGGAATAATAGTTGACGGTATCAACATAAAACCGGTGTGAACAGCAGAAGCGTAGACATAGAGCCAGTTGAAGTAACGGCTTATAAACTCCAGTTATCCAAAGGAAAGTGACGAAATATTTTGATTTCATATTTATGCAAAATAACGCTTCATTTTATATATATACAGATTAACACACTATCTTATTCCATGAAATAAGGGACGAGCTTAGGGGTGTTTTCTTTGTTTTGTACTTATGCACAAAGCTACACAATGGACTATTTGTGCTCTGCTCACCACGGGTATCGAAACCCAGGTTCTAGCGTTGTAAGTCCGCGGACACTCCGCTGTGCCACTGGGGGGGGGGGGGGAAACTAGGGCTCATCTTTTAAATAAACCGTGTATCTATATATAGAAAGCATTCGTTATTTTTTTTTTAAATTGTCAACAATTACTACATGCTGTTTATATCCTGAGATTTTAAGGGGTGATTAATTATTTTCACTATGATTCGTATTTCTTGGGAACAATTTAATGAATATTCCGAAATTATGTGATAAACCCCACAGTTCGTCTTACCTGATCACGGGTAGAGTTAAAACTGTTTTGGTTTTTACTGTAACCAACTGTTTTGAATTATTGGGACAATATGACATCCAAAATATATTTTTTATTTGTTTTATCTGCCGGTTATGTCTATTAGCGTTGCAGAAAGATATAATATTTTTGTTTGTTTGTCCGTTTTCTCCTGGGAGAGGTTAATAGTCTCTGTGAGGGTAATGCCGTATCAGTTCAGGATTTCAGAAACCCCACCGGCTCATCGCTTTCTTGGGCTGTCTCATCCTATGTTTACAGAGAGTTGGGCCCCATGCGTGTTAGGTGGTGCAAACAGTCTGACTCTTTGGTTTTCCACGTGTTGTATGACCGATTTTACTGTGCGCACATTTCTGATAACTTCGATTCTGATTTTGTCCCTTCCTATTTTCTTAATTGCTCTGCGCAGGTTTCTTAATTCACGTGTGGCGGTCTTCTGTTCATTTCTTTCATTCATGTCCAACGTCTGGTTTTAGAAACAAAGGGTTGGAATGAATGTCACATTTATGAGTTTGCCTTTAGTGTCCATTGACATATTGATTAACAAACAATATTTTGTATGCAAAAGTAATCACCAGAAAGTTTGTTGCTAAGCGATATAATTAATTACATTCCTAACTACCAATGAAAATCAAGACTTGTTTGTGATGTCACTTTTGTTGTTGTTCTTCTTTGTCTGAATGTCAAACAATTCGCTTCAGAGTTTAGTGTTAAGTAAACATGTGCTGGGAGGACTGTCTAGTGGTAATTTAGCGTTAAGTATACATGTGCTGGGAGGACTGTCTAGCGGTAATTCAGTGTTAAGTATACATATGCTGGGTACTGTCTAGTGGTAATTTAGTGTTAAGTATACATGTGCTGAGGGACTGTCTAGTCGTAATTTAGTATTAAGTATACATGTGCTGGGGGACTGTCTAGCGGTAATTTAGTGTTAAGTATACATGTGCTGGGAGGACTGTCTAGCGGTAATTTAGCGTTAAGTATACATGTGCTGGGAGGACTGTCTAGCGGTAATTCAGTGTTAAGTATACATATGCTAGGTACTGTCTAGTGGTAATTCAGTGTTAAGTATACATGTGCTGAGGGACTGTCTAGTCGTAATTTAGTATTAAGTATACATGTGCTGGGGGACTGTCTAGCGGTAATTTAGTGTTAAGTATACATGTGCTGGGGGACTGTCTAGCGGTAATTTAGTGTTAAGTATGCATGTGCTGGAGGACTGTCTAGCGGAAATTTAGTGTTA